CACACACACCTGGAGTGGATTTGTCACCTCATTTTCTCTGATTAGTAGAGCTATGAGTGATTGTCTTGGGAGATGCAGGTAAGCACTGATTGGGTGCTACACGGGACTGTCCCGCACCTGAGTGGGGAGCGGAGGCTAGAGAGAGAGAGAAGAGGGACGAGGGGGAGGCAGTGTCCCAAGATTCATAGCTTTGACATCTGCGTCCTTCTCGACTCGAAAGTATAAAAAAATTAACTAAAAAAAATAAATATGAATTTAATTTTGAGTGAAACATTTTAAAGTGACTTGCCTGGTTAAACAAAGCTAAAAATAATAAAGTAATATTTTGTAAAGAAATTAATACGTATTAATACTTTTATTCAGTAATGGATGCACAAAATAGACCAAAGTGGCAGTAATGACTTTTACTTTTTTAAATCTATTTCAAATAAATGCTGTTCTTTTGAACTTTTTTATTTGTTAAAGAATGCTAAAAACACATTTTCACAAAAATATTGTGAAAAAAAAACTTTTTTCAACATTTATAATGATCTGAAATGTTTCTTAAGCAGTAAATCAGCATATTAGAATGATTTCTCAAGCACCCCCCTCCGGTTTCTCTTGAGGGCAGCAGTGAAGAAGAGTGTAGTGGGAACAGGGGGTGGAAATAAAAGCATCCAGTGATGAGAGAGCGAAAGAGCGGGCCACGTTTCGGGATGAGGAGAAAGGTTAATAATATGAGGTATAAAGGAGAGATGAAAGAGAGAGGGAGAAACGAGGTTATAGTGGCAGGGGTAAGTAATGTTGATCTGACACAGTGCAGAGCTGCCACATGATGGGCCATTATATCAATCTGCTTCACACCAGGTATACATGGCTGCGGGCTTTCCGACTGAGCGGAAAAATAGAAACGTGCTGCCTCACTGGACGAGACAGTGCTGTTCAGCCTGTGCCTCTCAGTTTCTGGCTTTCCTGGCAGATATATGGATTTAAAATATTCAACATTTCTTTTCCTGGAAAAGTGTGGATGGCTCATCCTACATGCAACACATTTTTGAGTAATAAAATGACAATGTACCTCCCCCTAATACAACATGCATGTATTATTAAGTATAAATAGTTCATGGCTGTGACATAAATAAAGCCTATTGTCTTTTTTTATTTTCCTGCTTAAATAGAAAACATGGTAACACAGGTACAAAAAGTGGCCTCGTAGCAATATCTTGTAGTGCAGCTGACTATTTTTTTTTAATAAGTGGCACAAAAATTCTGGGATAAGTTACATAACACAATTTAAAATAGCTGTTTTCCATTTTAATTATTTTAAAATGTTTAAAATGTTGATGGTAAAGCTACATTTTCAGCAGCCATTACTCCAGTC